CCGCCCCCCCCCCCCCCCCCCCCCCCCCTACTGAGCAAAGTCGGGTAATCTTTCCGCTCCACATTTGTCAGTACTGTATTAGTTACACACAAGTTTGGCCAGTAACAGAAAGGATTTGACCTTTGCAGAAAAGTCGGACGTTTTGGACAAAATTAGAACTTAGTCACCAGGGATCTCGCAGGGTAAGCTGTCACGTGATTTACACATTTCTCGTCGTACCCTATCCAGGTTGATTTCCAGCGAATAGGAACTCCGGCAGAATTTGTCGCATGGCACTGCAAGCTCTCAGAAAAGGAAGCGATGTGGAAATGATGAAGAGGTTGAAACTGCATTGAAAGGCTGGATGATCTCGGTTCGTGAGCACAACCAAACAATTACAGGCCCGTTGCTGAAGCAAAATGCAGGACATTTCGGGGAAAGACCTGGAAAAACCTTTGCTGCCACGGAAGGATGGTTGCAAAGATGGAAGGATAGAAATCAACTTGGTTATAAATGTGCACGTGGCGAAAATTCCGCGGACAGAGTAGTCTGTGTAAATTGACTGAAAGATCAACTGCCTGGACTTTTGAATGCATTTGACGATGACAACGTGTACAATGCAGACGAAACAGGTCCTTTTTACGGATCAATTCCACAGTGTTTTTTCTGTTTTCCTGCCGATAAGCTCAGCGGTTCGAGAAAAGCCATGGATAGGATCATTCTCCTGTGCTGCGCTAATATGTCAGGCACGGATAACAGGAATCTGGTTTTGATTGGAGAAAGTAAGCAACCACGATGTTTTAATGGCGTGCAGATAGACACACTTCCAGTAACTTAGCTAACAAAAATGCGTGGATTGGACAAAGAGCTATGCCAATGTGGCAAAAAAATTATGTTGCTCTTGAATAATTGCAGAGCACATCCACAGGTAGAAGGCTTGTAAAATGTTCAAATGGAACTTTTTCCGGCCAACACGACCAGCATTCTGCAACCATTGGACCAAGGTGTGATTATGAATCTGAAAATCTGTTGCAGAAAAGAAATTGTGTACAGAATGCTTTGCCACATCGTCGGCGGTGGATATCAGCGCCGATTTATGTGCTCGATGCAATTCAGTTCGTTTCAAGAAGTTGGAGACTGGTTATCGGTGCAACAATAGAAGCTTGCTTTCGGCATGCTGGCTTCAGAAAACTGAGATCCGATGCACTTTCTGATGACGTCGTCATCGCTAAGGAAGAGCTCAGCGCTTGCAAAACCCCAGTCATCAATGCAGAAGAGTTCGTCGCCATTGACAAAGATGTGGACTGTACCTCAGATCTGACAACTATTGAAGATGAAATCGACTAGAACAGAAAGAAGGCAGCGACTGAGAAGATGACGTACCAGCTGCCTCCGTGAGTAGCAGCAATCAGCGCGTGTCGCATTCAAGAGCAAAGAACTGTGTAGATGATGTGTATAGTTACGCACTTTTGCATGGGTTAGGTAACGATTTCTTGTCCAGTCAGCACAAAAGTGACTGGAGTAGCAGCTCATAATAATGTACAACTAACGCCAGTTTCTGTAGCTATCCAGATAAGCTGCTTTATGTCAGGATTGTTAAATTATAGATCATGCTCTTCTGAATAAACGTCTTTTGCAGACTTTAGTTACTAGTATGTATTTCATCCTTGTTAGTAAGTTACAATTCAGTTAATATACTGTACAATAAATCCATTTTTGGGAAAATGGCAAAATCGGTTACTTGCCCACTCCGCTTTATTACCCACTTTTGAAATATCCCGATTGTGGGCAATAAAGCGGGTTTGACTGTAGTAGGATTATCACAAAAGTACGACAGTTTAATAGCTGAAATTTAATTTGTTCTAAGGGTAAGATTCCTTCACTAGGGGCGACAATATCAGGGCTTGCACCTCCCCCATGACTACTTCGAAACCAAGGGATAGGGCCAGGGATTCTTCCGTTATCATCAGCAGCAGTAGCAGGATATCATCCATTTGTACTGCTGCTTCGCTCCCTAAAACCACGATGACCTACGAAAGAAAGAATATTACGAGTGAGAGAAGGGAGACCTAGCGTAAAACACTAATGCCTTAAGTAAGCGTTCAGGGTCATGGCTCTCCCACCTTGTATCAAAAACAGCTGGCTATCGTGCAAAGATAAGGCGGCATCGGCGAGACAGCTTCCTTGCGGTTTCCACTGCCCCGCGCCACAATCAACCATTATCCTTCAGATAACTTAGCGCCGATCCACCTATGCAACAGTTGCTGCTGGATGTATTTGAATTGCGACTCCGGTATCTTCAACCACCACGCCTATTTGTGTAAAAGACCAGCTGTAAGCTGCAGAAACGTCACCAAATCCACCGATGGCCGCGCTCTCCCACCTTATCACAGTAACGGGGACACCGAACCGACCCATCATCGCAAACGATCAAACTATGTCTGGCTCCCTAGCCCTTATCCTCTTGTAAAATGTATCAACTGATGCAACCTCGGTAACACCTACACTCCTGATTTACCGATAGCTACCGAACTTACAACAGTCCGATCCGTCTACACGATAGTTGCTGTTCGATGTATTCGAATCGTGACTCCCGGTATCTTCAGTCACCACAGTCACATGTGTAAAGGACCAGCTGTAAGCCACTAAATCCACCGAGGGCCGCACCCTCCACCTCACTGAACGCCAGACGGATTTACGTTACCCTGACACTCATGTGCACCAACGTTCCCGAGACCAAAACAAACTGCTTAAGGAAAATAACAGGACCGTCTGAGGCTGTGGAATATATTTGTGCTCGATTCGGTGTTCGATCTAGAGCGATTGACTTAATGCGCGTCACACTACGTCCAAACTCAATGCACTACAGTGAGTCTGACTTATACGGGTATCACTGGGATGCACAGATGATATCCAGACGATGCTTTTGTCGACAAACCACTGACGGAGGGACGACGTTGGAAGGGCACATTCTTCTGTATGACCTGTGGAGCGAATGCCAGTGAGAAAGAACACTTCAGACGATTAACACACGGACAGTAGCGGTAGAATAATTTTGGTTTATGGCGTGTCCAAGCTACCTGCAGCCAGCGGTTAGGAAGTCCGCGCCCATGATCTGGAAGAATGGTACTACATCCGTAAAACTCTGCTGGTGACGTCATACTTCACTCGATTTCTAGGCTACTCGTGTCGCCTCACTGTAATGGCAGTGGCCCGAGTATATATACTAAAAGTTGTGACTCTCCCAGTAGACGGCGGTGATCTTAACGCGTACCCGGTATAAACTGCGTAATGCACTTCCTTCGGAACTACGATTAAAGATAGCAGTTATAAAATCAGAGCCACCCTACCTCATTGAGAAAACAACACCGCCCGATATCCAATATAAGCACTGGCGAATCAGGAACTATGTGCTCTGACTAGTAATCATTGAGAATGCTGTCATTCGACTGCATAACGCATGTGCTGCTGAGACCAAAAACAGATTAGTTTCATACCAAAACTCGGCGTTGATCTGTTCATCACCGGCAAACTACCAAAAACTTTTAAGTGCCGGCCTCTCATCGGTCAGCATTGAATGGATCTCCTTCATACACCCCTTGTAGAGCGCTTTTGATGTCCAAGGTGCACTTTTGCTCAGTAAACTTTCCGAATTGCGACTTCGTCAGAAATCAAAGACCTATAACCTCACCCGTATCAGAAATACATGGTTTTGTTCCGAGATAACTGACATCAAGGTCGTGCTATCCGACATGCCCGTTTTCCACACCACAGATCCAGTAAAGCGCTTGTGTTGGCTTTGTACTTCCACAGTGATCTCTAATGTGAGCTCCTGAAGGATTTGGCCGTTACATTGCAAGATTCCCTTTGGTGACGTCTACGACCAAGAGGCGACGACGCTTTCTTTGTGGCTGCTCTCAGATGTTTGTGGATCTACTTGTGTTCGCTTCCAAATAAAGTGTGTCGGCGAACATCCAGGCGTTTCAAAGACAACATAGAGTCCCAGTACCCAGGCTGGTAATAGGATTTGCGACCCGAAGACGTTCCCGCTGTCAAGAGCGTCTGCTACACATGTGTCTAATGCCATTCAACTATGTTCAGTGAGTGCCTTCTTAGCTCGGACGACAGCGTACTTGACACGCGTTCAGGACATCTGACTTCGGCACTTCGCGTTTGCAAATGCGCTCGCAGTGTCGACACGAGCGTCCACCAGAACGCACCTGCAGGTCGTCTCGTACAAATGCGTGGTCCGAGTCCATGCTCGTGCTCCAAATCGATCGGCGGTTTTGATCGTTGCCTTTCCCATGGTTAATGATCGTCATATGATCGATTAGCGTACGCGGCTAGTCTGTGGC